TTTACAAAAAAAAAAAAAAAAAAAAAAAAAAAAAAAAAAAAAACTTAATATTTATTTGTTTACTTTATTAAACATTTCTTTCAATGTAAGTTGTTTAAGTTGCTTCGTTTTATGTGATAATACTTTCTCTTTAATTCTATAACAGACATAATTTCTTGTTCAGTTACAAAGTTCGCTGTTCAGTCATAATAATAGCTGTGTCAAGAATACCAACTAATTTGTCAATCGAAATTTTTTCGTTTTCAATAACCTCTGTGTCACTTTCTTCACTATAGGAAGCGAATTATAATGGCGAGGAATATGATTTAAATCACATCAAAGATGGAGTACATCCAGATGAAATACTACATTTAGTAAGGATTTATAAGCCAAATAAAATAAAAACATCTGCCCTGAAGATAAGGATAGTGCTGACAGATCAACTTCCAATTCATTGAGTGCTGCGGCGTTCCCCCCCCGGCCGCAGAGCAGAGTGAAATTGATAAACAGATTTCGGAATGGTTAGAGAAACAAAGGATATGCCTTTATCCATTTTTTGCAGGAATTCCACTTTTTGTTTGATGGACATCGAAACATACTTTCGCTTTGTAGATCCTTTGGGAGCTCCAGCATCGGAAATTCTATTTGACATAATCGAAAGTTCAAGCTTACTTTTATAAAATTGCTCTAACAGTCTGCAAAAAATAATAAGCCGGATCCAATTTGAAGATTAAGGTACACCGCAATCTGCAACATTAACTGAAATAGATAATTTTAGCTTACACCATCCGTTATACATTAAACGTGCAAGGGTAAACATATCATGCGCATGCCATAAAGGTCTTAAGCGCATGTGTCAACGCGATGCATGCACAGAAAGTTTGTAGCTTTGAGGTCCGGATTATAGATCATTCCGAATTATGGGTGTCCGAATTAACTTTTGACTGTAACTGCCTTGGCATTCATGAGTCTCTAGTAAAGAAGAACACACTGGTTAGCTCAAGAGGACAGCCCTACTGATGGATATGTTTGTTTAGAAGTATTGCGAGGCCTTTCAGTTTGGTAAAATCAGGAATTGTAAATGAAAAATAATAACAGTGAAACCATAATTTCCGAAACTGTTACTCCTATTATATTTATGGTGTTAAAATATAATTTAACAATATGGAAATTACTATCATAAATATTTATGTGTGTTACATTTAATCATAAGTAAAGATTATGTAAAAATATAATTTAACAGTATGGAAATTAGTATCATAAATATTTATGTGCGTTACATTTAATCATAAGTAAAGATTATGTAAAGATTTTTATTTGTGATACTCTGTGATAACAAAAACCTTCCCTGAAGAATTATGATTATGTGAACTCTCAAAGACTTTTGGACTGAAAATTTTTAATGGATTCTAAAATATTATCAAAGTTTACATTTTGTAATTATGTAAATAATTATTTTGGTTAAAATTCAGAATTTCCATTTTTCAAATTATTTCTCTTCATTTGCTAATGCTTTTGCACTTTTCTCTAAAAAAAAAAAAAAATCCTTCTTTCTCACCCAGCCCTTTCTTTCTTGAAACGGGGGAATATGTAAAATATAAAATCTAGCTTTTAAATAATGAATTAATTGCCTTTTAACTCCTGTCTTCATTCTGAAATAACAGCAATAATTTTTCTAACTAAACGAAAAAGATTCGTCACCTAATCTGTACTGCGCACTTATCGATGAAGTCTGAACCCTGTCTTCATCAATAAGTTCACCGAAGATGTACTGTGCACTATCAATGAAGTCTGTACCTGTATATTAAATTGTCATGTGATCTGAAATGGAATTCGTATAAAAGGTCAATTGCGTCACAACTCCTTCTCTTCCATCTTTTCTCTTGCTTTGTTTCGCTGCTTTGCATTACTGCTTGCTACGTAAAGTTTACTTTTCTAATTTTTGTCCTTTAAGACGAAGTAAGCTGTATAAAATTGGGGGGAGGGGTGTACAGCACATCCACAGTGATAATGTGAATTATCCAAGAAATAAAATTATTTGTGGAATTTAGGCTATATCTACAAATTTTTTTGGTTTATGTATCTATTGTTCTAACTACGCAGCAAAGTCTTCAAGTTATGATACACTCCTCTCCGATGCCAATCCATTGCAACTCTAACCAAGTCATCTTATTACAATAATAATGCAGTTTTATTACATATATATAATACTTTTAACAAATCTGGCTAACATAATTTCATGGGTCCAACTGGTAAATAATAAAAGAGATAAAGTACTGCGTTAATTACTTTTAAATTGCTTAGTTTGTTAATCAATAACAGGCAGATTAAATTGGGAAAAAAATTAAATATCTTAACATTCGCCAAATGGTAACAAACTGGCGCATGGAAGTTAAAAACTTTTTATATCAGATATCTGTAGAATTCCCATTAAGTTAAAATTTTGTCATACCATTTTTTATATTCGCTGTATTCTTTTTGTAAAAATAATGCATAGAAATAACAGTTGGTGGCAGCCTCCTTTTAGTTGCTGTGCCGTATTTCTTTTTTAAAGTCGCTATATTATTTCTTTAAAGATAGTACATGGTGATCAGATATGAAAAGTAATACGAGCAGAAAACTGAGGTTTGAGACTAATAGCGTCTGCTGTGCTTAAATAAATAAATAATAATAATAAAAAAGCTTTAAAATTTTATTCTTCCTTCTGTTTCTAACTTTTTTATTTATAAAACCAAGAATTTCACAAAACAGTTGATTCACACATAGCAAATCACAATGCAATAAGAACAGGATTGTATCTTTAATGCCATGGTTTCCTACATGGTAGTGGCTGAAGTGAAGAAAACGAAAGTCTTGAAACAACCAAGCTTTGGGTCAAATTTGAAACTTCATGCGTGTAAATGGGTTGCCAATGTAAGAGTTTTGGATGTAGCTCAATGTTGGTTCATGCAAGACACGACTCAACATTGCTAAAACAATCAACTTTATTAACGAAACTGATTCATAGAAACACAAAAGCTACTATACGATACTTAAACTTTGCAGAATTCATGGTAAAGGCAATGTGCTGTCAGGTGGTGGAGTGGACAGCTATTGTGAAGCAACGTGACATCAGCTGGCAGCTCACACAGCTGTACATGAGATAACCACACACTGCAGCATCAGAAATAAAAAAAAGAAATAAGCACAACCTAGTGAATGTAAACAGTCGCCGTTTCTTCCACATATATTGAAAAGCTACATAGAGGGACAAAGAAAATCATTCTTGAACAAATATCTTTGGTAATGTTTCGTGGTATATTATAGATAATTATATGCTTTAAACTAATGGCCAAAATTATTGAAAATTATGTCTACTGTGCACCCTCGCTAGTCAACACACGCTGGCTCCTAAATATGCTTAATCATGATAAACTTAGGAGAATGGAAATTGTTCATTAAAGTAGAACTTGAGTGAATGCACTCATAAAGGATGCTATGCTCCTAAACCACAGTTGTTGCAGAAAGGCTACCAAATAAATAAAGTATACATAACATTGGGACAACAATTCAAAGATTGATTCTACTTCCATAATGATTTTTTTCAACAATATGGGAAGGGCTTTAATGAATCTCAGAAATCTCCTAAAACAATTATTGGACTCAGAATGCTAAAGACAACAAATAATTCTTTTCTAGAAATATATAATCACTAAACACACTTGAAAAAGACTAACATACTTCTAGCTGCAATACCTTACTTTGAGACCCCCAAAACTAGTGGCTAGAGTGAAGTTACTTAGCCAATCAAAAGCAATATACAATATGATCAGAAACTGATTGAACTCATGACCCAATGCTTTCAATGATCAGAGATCTGGAGAATGTACCAGGGTTCAAACACCCTCCGTATCGAAGGAGATCAGGACGGCACAGGCAACATGCGGTCAAATGCTAACACAAGCTGGTGGAAATTTCTTCTTCCTATATGAGGCGTAACACAACCTTTCACAAACAACCAACATTCAAAAGTGATTTCCAAATGAGAAACCCATTACTCAATCTCCCATTTATTCACAATGTTGATGGCATTTTTCATACCTGCTCGGTGTGCATGCATTGGAATGTAAATTATTTTTATAGCCAGCACGTAGTACCTTTCATGCAAATTTGACATTCATTGCATTCCGCCATCACGATGTAGCAATTTTAATGGCCAGTACTGCATTTTATAAATGATGCACATCTTATGAATTGTAAAATTTACTTAACACTGAGCAAAAATTATGCTAAATATCCAAAAAAGTAAGCCATCATTAGCTCTAAATACCTCAAGGTCATCCTATTTATAATACTGGGTAGCTTTTCAAAGAATAAGCGGTTAATAATATGTGCTCTCATACAAGACAGATTATGTTTAATTCAAATGCCCATGAAAGCAGGAAATTTATACTAATTATTGGGTTTTTTCTACTTTATGTAAGATAAAACTGTAAGAAAATATCAAGCTCATATCAATGATAAAACAATAAAGTAGAATTTTGATGCACCTTTCAAAAACTGACTTTAACTATATATACATATGTTTTACATCATACATAAAAATTATAAGAATAACAACTTATATCAAAAGTCACAATTAAACAGACCATCAATAAAGAAACCAGCAGCTTCTCCACACATTAGTAAACATCTACATCTAAAAATCACTTTTATGTTTTAAGCAAGCTGTTACATGTTACCAGATTCCCTTATTAATTTTACGTATTAAGCATAAGTATTAATTTTAGGTATAACCTTAAATCTTAACTACTTTACCACTTTAGACATGGAAAAAAAATTCATGGTCATTCATCAGATTGCAAATCCATTACATAATATTTTAAAATGAATGTTTCATGTTTCTTAATTAGTTTTAAGTCTTGAACAGAAAATGATAAAAAAAACCAATGATAACTGTAATTCTACAATAATTACGATATTTGCAATTTAAGTTATTTGCAACAACTGTTCACATTATTCCCAAAATAAATTATAAAGCATAAGATTAAATAAACTTTATTTACAAAAAATAATTTTTTTCACCAAATAAGACAGTGATTTACAGCTTGTCGTTGAGATTTTGCATGGCACTTGAAAGATTCTGAAAATTCTTCCATGTTTTCTGTGGTGATCCTCAAACTAAAAAATTTAAGAACAAAAAGTTATTAATCAATATAAAAGTCACATATAACTAAATCACATCAATATTTTTTTTAATTCAAACAAGAGCCGTGAATGAAGATAATATATTTAAAAGACAGATCTTGAAGGTTTCAGAAGTAAACACTTTTATTTTAAAACACAATTTCAGAGATTCAGAATTCTTGGGACAGTAGACTTTAAACTCACAAAATAACATCAAATTTCTTTCTTTAAGTGAATGAAAAGATACAATAATTATTGTACATGCTGCTATTTAAATCCCATTTGAGATAAATAAGAAAAAAGACACTGGCAGATATGATCTTATAAGTATAATGAATTAGTAAAGCAGGAGCAAATTTCTAAGAAAATAAAAATCAATGTAAAACTATGCATAACCTCAAATTTATGCCAAACAGTATCCTAATACCATTCATTATATGGAGGCTGTTTGCATATTTTTTAAATGGTTTTGTTTTGCTATAAAAAATCACCTGCTTGGAAAATTATTTTTAATTGCAACTATATTTTTGAAAGCATAAATTATCATATGGTACAATTTTCTTTTCATGCAAAACAGCACTTGTAAAAAAGCAATGGATGGAAGGCTATGTTTGTGCTCTTTCTGAAGAAAATTATCCATATTTGGTTATTAAAAACTGCTGTGAGAACCATGATTTTTCGGTGTCTAAAGGAATGATAGATAGTATTGCAAATAAGAAAGGGAAAAAAAAACATCAGTTTGGCTTCAAGGCAAAAAATTTTTCAAAATACATACCCCCCCCCCCCCCCGAAAAAAAAAAGAAGGAACGTTTCGAATACTGCAAGGATAAGAACTTTAATGTTAAAAGAAAATTTCTGAAGTCAAAGAACAGTTGCATAATCATTAAAATGATCAGTGTCAGCTATAAGGTTTGGTTTGGTTTATTTAATTATGGCAAAGCACACTAAGGCTATCTGCCTAAGTGGAGGGATGCCTTTGTGGAGGACTTTCTAAGGGAAACTTGCTCGTATACAACTGTCAACTATAAACAAAGACTTTTAAAAAGTGAATTATCCAAATGTCGACCTACAACTCTCCTTGCATTTGTTGTTGGAAAAGTTGTTCAAGAGGAATGGGATAAAATGCTTGTTGCATTTTAGGTAAAATATTTCTGTAAATACGATGAAAATTGTCTGAAATATATGTGAACAGTACTGTACATTTAGATATTTAGCATCCGTAACAGATGCAAGAGAAACATGGCAACATAAATTACCACAATTCAATAAATTAGACATTGGTTTTAGAATAAAGTTTCATGCACTGTAAAAGAACCTTACATAGGTGATTCTTTTCCAATGAGTAAGATAATTATGATTTTTAAAATCTGTTAAAAAATAAGTAAAAGAAATACTGAAACTCCATTGGGGAGGAGAAAAAACAGAATGTTTTAAATTCCCTGAAAGCAATAAATTGGAGTTAAAAGCAGTAATACTGAGAGATTTTGACATATACAGAAACTTCAAAGAAATCTATTAATTCAGCAGCTGAAGTTTTTTTGTTTTGTTTTTGAAAATATGAGCAGAATGAAAGCTAAAAGAATGGTTATGGAATACCAATAAATAGCAAAGGATGATTTATTAATGTCATCTTTTCCGATATAGGATTTGTGTTTAATGTAAAATTACAATGATGTTTGACCCATGTATCAGAGTATGTAGAATGATGTACATTTCTTGATAATTAAAATAAGAAAAGTGTGTAAAGTTCAAGGTAGTACGGTTTTAATTTTGGTAAATTTCAGAGTAACAGTATATAGTCATTGGCATGGAATGCTCAGTAATAAAAATATGAAATGTTACCTGTTTTTAAACAAAAATGCAAGCTTTTATTGAGGTTTAAAAGTTATGTGTAAAATATATGATAGAAAATTAGCAACTACAGTGTACTTTTACAAAAATAACCCCATAATAAAATTTGGCACCTATTTAAATCTTCCTATTTTTGTGTAACAGTGATAAAAGCTAATACTTTCAAACTACTGTTTTTAGATAACTGTACCTGGGCATGCAATGTGATAGCAGCTTCTTTTACTTTTCTTCAGTGTTATGGTTTAAAAAGCATCATATAATTCTGTTTCTTTATCATTGCTGGACACAGATTATACAACTGCCTCTATTTCACCATTAAGTCCCACTTATTGTAAAGTTCCCATGTCTTTCCCCGCCCCTCCAAAAAAAATCAGGATTCTGAGAGAGTTAGTTGACTTCATGGGAAAAAAAAAAAAAAAAAAAAAAAAAAAAAAAGATATCAGAAATAACTTTCCTCTGATACATTATTACTCTAGTGGCAGCAGATCTTAGAAAATTCTCTGCATGAAGATTTTGTTAGACTTTAAACATCTGATATTTAACACATACACACATAAACAAAACATCACTCCCTCTGCATAATGCCTAGAGATTACAAAAGGGCAAACCCTGAAAACACATTACCTTGTCCTGGTTAAAATGTCAAGAAGATCTTCCAGAAAACAGAAATGTAGCTATGGAAAGAGTAGTTCTTGCAACAACCAACCTCAAGGCTGCAAATAAGTTTCATGCATATGATGCAGTTTTAGTTTTAAAGATTGAGCATAATTGAAGGAATAATAGAAGAAGTTCCTGAACAAGAATTAGAAGGTAAAGAGCATTATCTCACAGAGGAGAAAGAAAATTCCACATCAGTTGTGAGGCCAGTTTTTGATGCTTTGCATAAACAGAAAGGATACCCTTCATTGAATGACTGGCAAAAGGACCAAGTTTATTGAAACTAATGTTTGCTAATTTAACTGAAGTTTAGGAAAAAGGAAAATAGGAGTAATTTCAGATATAAAAAGGGCTTTTCCAGAATTTAGTGTTAACAAGGAAGATCATCATTACTTGAGATTCCTTTGGTGGCATGATTTTGAGATGAATGAGATGAGGGTGTTTCGTCACTGTCGTGTTATCTTTGGAGTAAATTCTAGTTAATTTCTTTTAGGTGCACTAATTGATTTTCATCTGAAGCAATACCAATCATCTGGAAATACAGCCAAACAACTCAAGTCTTCAATTTCTGTGAACAATTATATTACATTGATACATTCAGAAGAGTTGCATTCCTTTATGAAATCAGCTACACAGTTACCGAATGAAGCAAATTTGAAGTTAAAAGGTTGGGAGCATACTTGAGATAAGAAACTAAAAAACAGTGATATTAATTATCAAAGCCAACCTTAGTATTGAGATTACTTTTGGACAAACATGAAAACCGGTTGTTTGGTAATGTAGGTGAGATTGGTTATTCAGATGCTACAATGACAAGAGTCATCTTGTCAATTACGCAGAGAGTATTTGACCCTATAGGATTTTGTTGTCTGGTAACCCTTGTGCCAGAACTTTTGTTACAAGAAAGTTGGAAAGCAAAGTTAAGCTGGGATTCTGAAGTGCCTGCAGACACAGAAAAAAAAAAAAAGTTCTTAAAATGATTGAAAGAACTGTCATTATTATCTTTGAATTAAACTCCCAGGAATGTTTTGCTAAATAATTGGACCTTTTGTAGTTTACACACATTTTACAATGCCTCTAATTTTTCTTATGTTAGTGTAGTTTATTTAAGATGGGAGAATGGAAACAGGGTTTCGGTTCAACTACTTCAAGCCAAATCAAGAGTTGCTCCATTGAAGAAGGCAACAATTCCAAGACTTGAGTTATTAGATTGCTACATTAGAGCACAATTAGCTTCATTTGTCTTACAGATGAATATTAATGAATGTTTTTGATTGATTCTTTCACTGTCTTATGGTGGATAAAAAGAGAAGAAAAGAGGGAAAGAAATTTGAAGTTTAATAAAAACTGGGAAGCATATTTCTGGCCATTATCACTCAGCAGATCTTCCCTCCAGAGGTTGTTCAGCTGCCAAACTTAAGAAATCCAGATCATGGGTTTTACTGATCACTTCTGTTGTCACCAAAATTGTTCGAGATTTGCAAGAACTAACCATTCTCCTTTCTCCTAATAAACCTAAAATAAAATACTTTACATCTAATATTCTAAAGCATGATATTTATTTTCAAAATCTGTAGAACTACAACAAAGATCAAATGGTTGCCACTCTTACAGTTACAAACTATGAAAAAAGATAACAACTGAGGCTGGCCTCTAACAATGGGAGGGCTCTTCTTTGTTAAGACTATCAGAAGAAGAATGGCCAAGAGCCAATTTAGTTGTATATGAAGAAGTAAGCACTGAAAGGAAGGAAAGTATTGTTACTTCATCAATTTGTAACAGCTCTGAAAATTTATGGTTCTTGTGTTACTTCCCGAATTACACGAAGATCTTGACAATGGTAGCATGAGTATTCAGATTTGTTACAAGTACAAAAATGCCTAAACATGATCGAATCTTCAGCGCATTAACTATTTCTAAATTGACTTCAGCTCAGAAGTATATGGTTAAAACAGTTAGAGGTTTTTACTTCAAAAGAAATTTTAAGTTTAAGAGTCCCTGTATGCATTTGAAGATAAAGAAGGCATCTTACGAGTTAAAACAAAGATAACAGGAAACAAAGATGTCAATTTTATCTATCCCATGCTCCTGCCAAGTTATTTCCAGCTTGTGCTGATGATCCTTCACTATTTCCATTTAAGCATGGTTCATCCTGGTATACACATATTGTTATCTAAGTTGTGGGAAAATTTTAGGATTCTGAAAGGATGGAAGAGCATATGGAAGGTCATTTAATTTATGTCAGATGTAAAAGACATGAGTCCAAACAAATAGAAAGGGTGTTTGCACCACTACCAGAGGACAGGGTGAGAGATGCCTACATTTTTGAAGTAACAGGAAAAGGATTATTATTGGGATTGTGGAGATTCACGGCCAGACCTCAACCAAAAGTATTTATAGTTACAATGGAAATCACTTTGTGAGAACTGATAATCTCTTTAATTCAGTCGACTTGAAAATTGTTCAAGTTGATGATTTGATCAAAA